CTTCTTCTTTCTTTCTTTCTTTCTTTCCTTTCTTTCTTTCTTTCTTTCTTTCTTTCTTTCTTTCTTTCTTTCTTTCTTTCCTTTCTTTCTTTCTTTTCTTTCTTTCTTTTTTTCTTTCTTTCTTTCTTTCTTTCTTTCTTTCTTTCTTTCTTTCTTTCTTTCCTTCCTTCCTTCCTTCCTTCTTTCTTTCTTCTTTCTTTCTTTCTTTCTTTCTTTCTTTCTTTTCTTTCTTTCTTTCTTTCTTTCTTTCTTTCTTTCTTTCTTTCTTTCTTTCTTTCTTTCTTTCCTTTCTTTCTTTCTTTCTTTCTTTCTTTCTTTCTTTCTTTCTTTCTTTCTTTCTTTCTTTCTTTCTTTCTTCTTTCTTCTTTTGTCAGACATTCAAATACCACTACCCTACCCTATTTCAACCATACAACAGTGTTAAGTATAGTCACCATGTTTTACATTATATCCTTGGACCTTATTCATGGGAATAAGCCAAAAGTTTGCACCCCACCCCACAGCTCTTGACAACCACTTTTTTACTCTTTGTTTCTATGAGTTTTACTTTTTTTTTTTTTTTAGATTCCACCTATAAGTGATACCACACAGTATTTGTTATTTTTCTGTCTGCCTTATTTCACTTAGCATAATGCCCTCAAATTTCATCCATGTTGTTGCAAATGGCAGGATTTCCTTCTTTCTTATGGCCGAATAATAGTCCACTGTATATGCATAACACCTCTTCTTTATCCATTCGTCCATTGGTGGACACTTTTTCCATATTGTGGCTATTCTGAATAATGCTGCAATGAACATAGGAGTGCAGATATCCCTCTGAGATCTTGTTTTCATTTCCTTTGGATATATACCCAGAAGTGGGATTGCTGGATCATATGGTAATTTCATTTTTAATTTTTTGATGAACCTCTATACTGTTTTCTGTAGTGGCTGCAGGAGTTTACATTCCCACCAACAGTGCACAGGGGTTCCCCTTCCTCCACATCCTTGCCAACACTTGTTATCTCTCGTCACTTCGATGCTGCTCTTTCTCTATCATCATCTCTCTATAAACTACAGGATTTGGCTGGATGAGTGAAATAAGACAGCTAGGCTGTGTCAGGTGAGGACTGAACAGCCCTAATAATTGGCTTTGCCATCCAATTCCACCCAGTATCGAATGGAAGAGTAACCAAGGAGAACAAACGTTTGTTAATGTTTGATCTGGACACCAGATATTCTAAAATTGATATCCCCTAACTTGGCAGAATTAATGCCCCTAGGCCATGATATTATGAGCTATGCTTATTACTGTTAATATGGTTCTTTGAATTCTTGGAGAACATTAAACGGTGTTTTCTTACAGAATTTGGTTTTCAACAATAAGGATTTTCACCCCCAAACTAAACACCTAATTAAAAAACAAGATTTAATTTGTTCAAGGACATTTTTCCTTTGAATTTTTCCCTTTAGAGAATTACACATTATATAAGATGAATGGAAAACAATGAACTTAGACCTTTCATTAAAAGCAAACTGATTTTCCAATTCTTTTCATTTGAAGATGCCTGGAGGTTTAAAAATTGAGCCAGTATAAAAATCTGGGAAATCTCTTTGAATGATACTAGTACTTGTGAGGAAGGGAAAAATCTAGCAACTTGATTCTTCCTTTCATATGTAAAGAATGATTTTCAGATATCTGGAACTCATTTCTTATGGAAATAATATGAGCGATGATGACTGGTGTCTCAGTCACCCCACTAGAACCTGACAAATATATTTGTCCATGTACTGCTGATGTCCCTTTAGGATAATTCATTCTTTTTGTTCCTTTTCTTCTCAAAAAATATTTTAACTACTTTTGGACTCATACGGGATTTACAGGCTAAGTACCAGCCACTACTTTTATTGGGGACACAAGTAGGGAGCTCTGCTAATGTTTGGGTCATGGCCTATAATAAGAAGAGAACTTGGCAAGTCATGGAAAACGTCAATTTTTAGGTATGCAGCACTCGAATATGGCTACTCTTTAATCAGTTTCTGGAATCTGAGGGCCTACTGACTAACCACCATCTTTAAAACCAACACGTAATCAGCACTATTGGCAGCAGCAGCAAAGGCAAAATTACCATCATTATCATCTATATCAGAAATTTGCAGCTTTATTAACAAGAATTTTAGGACTGATAAATTTTAGTTCCAAACGCTTTTCTTTCCACCAAAAATGAAATTAATCTCCATGAATAGCCAAAGCAATCCTGAGAAAGAAGAACAAAGCTGAAGTTATCACACTTCCTGGTTTCAAACTATATTACTAAGCTATATATTCAAAACAGTCTGGAATTGGCATAAAAATAGACACACAGACCAGTGGAACAGAATCAAGAGCCCAGAAATAAATCCTCATATTTACAGTGAACCAACATGTGACAAGGAGTCAAGATACTCAGTGAGGAAAGGATAACCTCTTCAATAAATGGTGTTGGGAAAACTCAATAAACACATGCAGAAGAATAAAACTGGACCCTTATCTAATACTCCTCACAAAAATTAACTCAAAATGGATTAAAGACTTAAACATAAGACCCCAAACTGTAAATCTCCTAGAAGAAAACATAGGCAAATACTCCTTAATGTTGGTCTTGGCAATACTTTTTTAATGTGACACCAAAAGCGAGTAATACTTTCATGTTATCTCTAATAATGAACACTTTTGTAAAGTAAAAGGTTATCCTTTAATTTTTCTTTTACACAAAGCTGAATTTTTATACACTGAGTTCTAGAAAGACCATAGAATCATTGTTCAAAGGCCCTGCTTGCTCTCTTCTCCCAAACTCAGAACTCAATCTTCATTGCCTAAAATGTACCCAAATTACCTTACTTTCCCCCACTGAAAACATCCCTCCTTCTCTGTTCCCCATTCCCATCAGTGGCTTCACAGCCTACCTTTACCTAGTTTACTCTGGCAGGGCTTTCTTCTATACTTGTCTCTCTTTTGTCCTCAAAGTCTGATTAATCAAATAGTCCAGTTAGGTTTACACTCTCTGCCTTCAAAGTGTTGCCATAGTAAGTTTCTCAATGGGCAGAATTGACCATGCTGCTCTCCAGTTTCAAAGATTCCTATTTTCTCTAAGATAAACTCTAAAATCTTTGGCATGGCATGACCAACTATTTTTAACACAGCTCAAGGATCTGGATGTTTCACTTAGCACAACTCATCCCTAGCACCTGCAGTGGAGATGTTTCCTGAAAAACCCCTGCTGTCTACATATTTGGGTCTTTGGATTCATTACTTTTTCTAATAGACTACCTCTTATCTTTTCACTCATTAATTAATTAATTAAGATAGATATCTACTGAACACCTACCCTGTGCTAGGCAATGAAGCGTACCAGGGGATTAGATGGTGAACAAAGTGGACGTGGTCCCTGCATGCATGGAGTCTGAGCTCTGCTGACTGAACATGCTGTCTCCTCCTGGACTCAAGGCTCTTTCACTCATACCCCACTCCTGCAATACGTCCTTATTGACCTAATTGCTCCACCTTTGGAAGACTGAGCCTCTGTGCCTGCTTTTGTTGTAGGATTTATGTCACACATTTTTTTTTTAAAGTCCATCTTCCCCACTAGACTCTGAGCTGCTTACAGTAAGGAGCAGGTCTTTCCAACAGTGGACCTTCCTATAATGCCAAGGACAGTGCTAGATGTCAAATTGATTTGAAGGGGCTTGACCCAAAATTTAGGCACCATGCCAGAAACTGGATTTCTAAATGTGACCATGAGAAAGTTACTGAGTGCAAGTATATTCTTTCTGTTTATGCTTGCCAATTTTCATAATTTTTAAAGCTCATTTTTAATGTATTCTTCTGTAATATACCTCGTATGCTGCTGATTTTCTGTTTTAAAAGAATTACTTCTATTCCTAAAGATGATGTTTTCAGCAATATATATTCAATTTTCATGTTTAAAACCCTGTAGCTAATGGCTTAAAACTTATCTTTGTTATTTGTTTTCTCTTTACGGAGAAATCACTCTTTCCTTAAAGATTTCTGTAAATAACAAGAGGGTTTTCTTTCTCCTACTGAGTTGCATGTAAATGCATTATAGCCTGAGGAAGGAACATATGCCCCACTCTCCTATTCTTAATGCTATGGTTACCGAAAAACTATTTCTATGTAGGATTATTTTTCAGTGGTCTCAAGATCCATTGCTCCCAGTACAACTTAGTATAGAGTTTTTATATTGATTTATTCTGGCAAAATGAATTCTATGGGATAGCTTACAAAAGTCTCCTTCCTTCTTTTAATTGCAAGAATGACTACAACAACTCCTCCATCTGTATTTGACAGTGGCAATTCATAAATTCTGCCCTGAATTTTTTAGTGGGGACACTAACGATAACTGGATTGTAATTACAGGAATACGAGTTGCTCTAAGTTTATAACCTGAAAGAAATGAGAATAGTCCTAATAAAAATCAGGCTATCGGGCCAATAAGATTTTATTAAGAAAATGAAGCAATATTCTGAGACTGGAATTATATTTCTTTAAACTACATATCCTAACTCTCATCACCATGAACTCAGTAAAAGAAGAAAATAATGATGCTAATTTTCAAAGCCTAAAAAGTTTTCTATCAGAATGTTGATTTTAGTCTATGTCTATCTATGAGGGCTTATCAAACCATTACACTGTGCTTTGACTTAGGTAAGCAAAGTAATTTATAGACAAGGAAGGAAGTAACAAATTTTAAAATGCATACATCTCAGGGCGCCTGGGTAGCTTGGTCGGTTAAGCATCACACTCTTGATTTCAGCTCAGGTCATGATCTGAGGGTCATGAGATTGAGCCCCACAACAGGCTCTGCACTGAGCTTGGATCCTGCTTAGGATTCTCTCTCTCCCTCTCCCTCTGCCCCTCCCCCTCCCTCTCTAAAAATAAAAAATAAAATGCATACATCTCTAACTGCAACTCTAATATAATTTCATGTATAATTATTTAGAAGGAATCACATTTACTATACCTTTTCCAGCTCCATCTTGCTTGAAATTTTTCCTGCATCATTACTGTATCTGAAAAACAAATTGACTCAGTTTATAATTTTATTAAAATGTAATTTAGAAAATCCTAATCAAAATGTCAATATTCTTTACCCTGGAACTGGTATTGTTTTTTCTTTCCTCTCATTTGTTTCAACACCTTCTGCAAAACATTAAATAAAAGAAAAATAATTTAAAGGGTTATCTGTGTGTGTGTGTGTGTGTGTGTTAAGATGGAAGCATTACTAGAAACTGAAAACAAATTCACCTGTACTGACATAACATTCATCTTAATAAAGTATTTTATAAATACAAATATCACCCCAACGTTTCCACTCCATCAGGGCAATTTATCAGAGCCAGAAATAACCACAGTCAAGTGTAATGCTCTTTCCAAATAGAATGTAGGAATTAGAGATTCCCACTACTATGCAAGAATGTCAATTCAGTATGAAGGAATAACCTGGGGTCTACTAAGAGAGACAGAGAGAGAATTCCATCAGACTGGCTAGAGGCTAGAAAGGGCATTCTTCCTCTTTTTCCAGAGAATGTAGATTCGACCATTAACTGAAGGTAAAATATTTGGGTAATGTATACTATTGGGAAATACAGCAAGAAGAAAGTTAAATTCACATCATGCATGTATGGGCAGTTAATAAAATATAAGCCAGAATTCTTGAGTTTCTGCCGACTGCCCAAATGATTAGACCCCACTGCAGCTGTATCAACATGTGTTACCATCAATTTCCAGTCCATGGTTGACTGATCCACTGAAATGAGTCATCTGGGTGGCCTCAACCTCTGCTTCAGCGCTGATGATCTGCTGTGCCACGGCCTCCACGATGGGCATCACCATGGCAGCCGTGGAGGTGTTGCTAAGCCACATCGATAAAAAGGCGGTACTGCTCATGAACCCCAATGTCAGCCTGAAACGAGAGGGCCTTTTGGATGAGCTGCGCTCTCCGGCTTAACTAGCTCTGTATTATTTAACTGTAAAGAATGCTGTTTGTAAATTGGGAATTTTTTCAAAACACACTTAAGTTAGGGTTCCCCTCTGATGGCGAACCCTGAAGATGGTTATAACCAGATAGGAATCAGAATGGCACATGGAAGAGTGGTGTTCTTATGAGATTTGTCTCCCTGGAACCGTAAACATCTTCTCTTAAAACAGAACAGCTTCTAATATTATACCAATATTTGAATGCCCTTTACAGATGACACTTACCTTGAAATACCAGTAAGATGAAATGCAATTAGTTTTTCAATTTAGGATCCCTTACTCTTTCTTTTGTCTTTTGGTCACATCTCTCTCTCTCTTTTTTTTTTTAAGATTTTATTTATTTATTTGACAGAGAGAGACACAGCGAGAGAGAGAACACAAGCAGGGGGAGGGGAGAGGGAGAAGCAGGCTTCCCACCGAGCAGGGAGCCTGATGCAGGGCTCGATCCCAGGACCCTGGGATCATGACCTGAGCCGAAGGCAGACGCTCAACGACTGAGCCACCCAGGCGCCCAGGTCACATCTCTCTTTATTAGTATGTGTGCCAAGGAGGCACAAGGGCAAGGAGAGAAATTAATATTTATAAATCTACTTTTTACTGTTGACTACTCTGGTTCAATATATGGTAGGTGGAGGAAATGGTTAAAATTACTAGCTAAAATGAGGTTTCAGAATTTTCTGTAGATTCTATTATTTGTGCTTTCCTGAGTTTTGACATTCCTGCCTGGGGTCAAGAACTGGATATATTACATTGTCTTCTCTTATAAATAAAGTAGTTCTTCTCCCTTAAAAATAACACACCTAAGACTGTAGGATTTTAAATCATATCTAGAAGCTTTCAAAATCACACTTGGGGAAGAAATATGATCTCTTTTGAGTAGGAGATCCCAGAAAATCATTCAGAAGCACATCTTTCCATATGGAGCCATTTATGAAATTTTATGACTCTCTTTAAAAGTAGATCTACAAGACAAATTCTACAGTTTCAAGTTCAGATCGGGTGAACAATTTCTACATGTAAAACAAAATAAAACTCTTTAGATATCTGTTTAAATAAGAAATCATTCTCAATAAAAAGTAAATTAGAAATACTTTTCATTTAAGGCATTGGCAAGACATGAAATCTTCCTATAAAAAAAGATAGTGAGCCAATAAACCTTCTGTGCGGTGAAAATGCCTTAAATTGCAAAGCTACTGGGTGGTATAAAGGACAGGACTCTTGCTACACTGTGTGGTTCACTACCCCATCCCCTGTGGTCAGTGAGCAGATGGTCAAGGAAAAGATACACATATCTATAGCACCCCAGAGGCATGGAATACCATTTCATCTCAAGAGTGAGATTCCCTTAATACATACATGTTATAAACATTTTAAGTAACAAATATTTTAAAAATTTGTCTCATCTGAGTTATTTTTTGTGTTTAACAAACCTATTTGATTCATAAATGATAAACACAGATGTGGATATACTCTAGAACGAATCATGCAACATAATTCAATAAAATTGTCTTATTTTCAAAGAAAAATGAGAAGGGAAGAACCACCTAAGACTTTAGAGCTTAATGCTATCATGTAAGTGTTTATGACACTGGAAATATTCTTTTTTTAGCTCACATCTATGTTCTTTTTTTTTTTTAAAGATTTGATTTATTTATTTGACAGAGACACAGTGAGAGAGGGAACACAAGCAGGGGGCATGGGAGAAGGAGAAGCAGGCTTCCCACAGAACAGGGAGCCCGATGGGGGGCTTGGTCCTGAGTCGATGGCAGACACTTAACGACTGAGCCACCCAGGCGCCCCTCACAACTATGTCCTTAACAAGAGCTAGAATTAAAACTAAAATAGCCAATTAATTTAGTGGAAAAAAGCATTTATTTCAGTGGGGAAAATCAGTCAACTGAGTGATTTCACATTCTGTAGATGAAATTTCTTAATTGATTGTTTCACTTTGCAACAGTTCATTTAAAAAGAAAAATGTTGGGGCGCCTGGGTGGCTCAGTCATTAAGCATCTGTCTTCGGCTCAGGTCATGGTCCCAGGGTCCTGGGATCGAGCCCCACATCAGGCTCCTTGCTCGGCGGAAAGCCTGCTTCTCCCTCTCCCACTCCCCCTGCTTGTGTCCCTCTCTCTCGCTGTGTCTCTCTCTGTCAAATAAATAAACAAGATCTTTAAAAATAAATAAATAAATAAGAAGAAAAATGTTCACCTTGGAATGTTTCTACACACGCTTGTATTTTGTCGGTAATGTCTTTGTCTTTGGTTCTTAATCCTCCCTATGATCAAGGATGCTCTTGAACAAGTCTTGAATGTGTAATCAGCCAAGTAAACAAAATAGGACTGAAATCTACTCAGAAGTCTATCAGTCTTGTCTGTTGGGGTTCAAGGCTTCTCTCAACTTTGTCTCCTGTGCATGAAAGGTAGGAGGGTTGTGTGCACTTATTCCAATCTCCCTGTAATTAGACCTGAAAGTTGTTGTTGTTGTTTCTTCCAAAACTCCAGTACACCTTATATCCCTTTCATATTTGCAGAGGAAAGGCATGAATTATACTGTGATATGAATGATTGCCTGGATGTGCATTACTTCTTTAGTTATTTGCTCTACACAAAAATGATCTGTTTGGAAAGTAAACCTGGAACAGGAAATGCAGTACTTACCATGTTGGGTTCACACCCACCGTCATCACCATTCTCAGAGCAATCCTTCTGTGCAAATTCCATTTTTCTATTGATGTTGCTAAACAGATGACTCCAATTAGCAGTAGGTGAAAATCTTTGAAATAAGCAGATGCCACCTGAAATTTATGATTAAACCCATAATTACTTATGTTGGTGGGGGAAAAATAATATTGCCCAAGAAAGCATTATTATGCTACTCTTAACTTTGACCTTCAAACTACTTAATCCTTCTATTAAGAAAAATGTAGATATGTGACAATACAAATTTAACTATGCTTACCCAGAAATGGGAGTGTTAAGGGAAAATACATACAAAAAAAGAGTACCCAAGATACTGGGTTTTGAAATAGCTGTGTAACATCAGGCAATCTTTCCATCTTAATCTTTCCATCTCCAAACTGGGGTTAACTGGTTTATGCTGCTACAGTAGAATGGCAGTGACTGTGACTTGGGGAAGTCCAAGTTGAGTCTCCAACCCGCCAGTGTTTTCATTACCATCCATTATGCCCAAACTGTAGTGTCACTCCTAAATATTTTGAATGGTTTTACCTTCAAAATTATTTGCTATAAAATAAATACCCTTGAATAGGAGCCAACATCTTAAGCCATTTTTAGCTAACACCATTCAGAGATTAGTAGAGTATACAGACTCTTTGGGTCAACCTATTTACCAGAGAATTCTCTTAAGTATGTTAGGCACATAATCTTTTTCTCAAACAACAACAACAAAAAGATTCTGTAGCCTAATTAGTTTAGAAAACAGAGTTTTGAAATACTAGAATTTTCTTTCCTGTAAGTCTAACTCAAAACCTTTAAATATTAACATGCATTGCCACTCACAGAGTGGGATTCCACATACAACATATTTTTCAAACTTATCTAACCACAGAAACCTTATTTTTAAATTTTTAGGTGTAGTGCTTCATAAGACTCAAGAGACCTGACTTTAGGACCTGCTTGGTTAAACTGAGTCATGAGGCTGTGCTAAAAGGAGAGGATTATAAGAGGAAACATCCCTTTAAAAAAAACAATATCTGGTAGAAGGAATGGGAGAGTTGGAAAATTATGAAACCACAAAGGAATAGAAAAATCAGTTCTCATGATAATTTTGCTATTTAAATTGTATTAGCATTTTTAATATAACTAACTAAGCTTGGCTTGGTTTAAAAAGAAAGTAAAAATTAGCCTTGGAATTAAAAGTGGACAAGTGAATTTCTTCATTATGTTTTATGTTGATTTATTATGTTTTTCACAGTTTGTATTTAACTCTTTACATTTTGTAGTAATTGCATAATAGAAAATAATTCTATCGGTTTCCTTATTATCTCATTTATTAATTACTCTAACAATGAATAAATATTTACCATGCACCACAACTGTTATATGAACAGGGAATGCAATGATAAATGTCTGATATGTTTTTCCCTCTTCACACCTCTTCAATCCTCAAATATCTAGATTTTCTTTCTCTTTCTTTTTTTAAGATTTCATTTATTTATTTGTCAGAGAGAGAGAGAGAGGGATATAGAGAGAGAGAGCACAAGCAGGGGGAGTGGCAGGCAGAGGGAGAAGCAGGCTTCCCGCTGAGCAAAGAGCGGGATGTGGGGCTCGATCCCAGGACCCTGGGATCAGGACCTGAGCCGAAGGCAGATGCTTAACGACTGAGCCACCCAGGCGCCCTCAAATATCCAGATTTTCTAAATAGTTTCTACTATTCTTCTGTATTACAGAGCCCTGGTTGTTTCCTTCATAGCATATTATATTATGTAAGTAGTGTTTACCTGCTTGTTGCATTCTTCTGTAATATACTATACATTCTAAGGGGACCAGGAATCTGTTTTGCTAGTCATTGCATATTTGGCACCTAGTACAATCCTGGTACAGAACAGGAGCTCAGTAAATAATATTACATGAATGAGAGAAGGAGGAAGGGAGTCAATGAATAAGCTACGGTCTCTGAGCTCCTAAATCAGTAGAGTGATCACAATCATGAATTGTCTACACTCTGTTCACAAACTTTTTTTTTTTTTAAAGATTTTATTTATTTATTTGAGACAGAGAGAATGAGAGAGAGAGAGCACATGAGAGGGGGGAGGATCAGAGGGAGAAGCAGGCTCCCTGCTGAGCAGGGAGCCCGATGTGGGACTCGATTCAGGGACTCCAGGATCATGACCCGAGCCGAAGGCAGTCGCTTAACCAACTGAGCCACCCAGGCGCCCAAACTTTTTTTTTTTTTAAAGATTTTATTTATTTATTTGACAGAGAGAGACACAGCGAGAGAGGGAATACAAGCAGGGGGAGAGGGAGAGGGAGAAGCAGGCTTCCCGCTGAGGAGGGAGCCCGATGCGGGGCTCAATCCCAGGACGCTGGGATCATGACCTGAGCCGAAGGCAAACGCTTAACGACTGAGCCACCCAGGAGCCCCTGTTTCCAAACTTCTATCTTCCTAATTCTCTCAGTCATTACTCTCAGTATAAGTATTATTTCAAATTATTAATTTACTAGTGTTTACAGACTTACGAACCATTTTTTTTTTCCTCCCTCGGTCTGCCTCTCTGAATTTTTCTTCTTGGCCTACATTGAAAATTACTTTTGCTCTTCCTTTTTCTTAAATGTTGGTATTCTACAGGGTTTTGTCTCCAATCTTCTTGTTTTGTACACCTGAAGTTTGAATCTTACAGATTCAATTTCTAACTCTATGTGACTAAGATAATGTTCAGCACACAGTGGACATTCAATACATATTTGTTGAATGAATGCTGAAGACACTAAAATCTTTGTATCCAAACAGATAAGCCTGGTGTATCCAGCTGGACATTTCCATTTGAATTTCCCACAAACATCTAAAAATTCAGCATATCCCTTTTTGTGGCAAATGAAACTTCCATCTACTTAGTTGCCCAAGTTAGAAGGCTAAGAGTCAGTTATGATTCCTTTTTCACTTCCAGTATGTGTGTTAGTCATGAAGTCCTATTATCTCTAGTTCCCCCATATATTTTATTTTATTTTATTTTTTAAAGATTTTTTATTTATTTGTCAGAGAGAGACAGAGCACAAGCAGGGGGAGAGGCAGGCAGAGGGAGAAGCAGGCTCCCCACTGAGCAAGGAGCCCGATGGGGGACTTGATCCCAGGACCCCGGGCTCATGAGCTGAGCCCAAGGCAGAGGCTAAACTGACTGAGCCACCCAGGTGTCCCATTCCCCTATATATTTGAAATTGTCCACTTTGCTCTATTCAAACATTACCATCTTAATTAAGCTCCTTACTGCTTCTCAAATGGTTGCTGTTTGATCTGTCTCTTTCTAATCCACCCCTTACCATTGTCACAGCTCCTTTTCTAAAGTGTGAATCTAATCACATCATTGTGCTTCCTGTACTCTTCACTGGACTCCATGTCTTTTAAGACCAAACCCAATCTTCCCAACATGTCTTATAAGACTCTTCATCATTTAGCCCCATCTCACCTTTCCAGCTTAGACTTTCAGTACTCTGCCAACTTCTCCCTACGTGTGAAATACTCCAGTCACAGAAATGCTTCAACACTTGCCAGTCATTTAACCTGGAATGACCCTCTTCTCTTACTTTGGTTATCCATAATCTTCCTTCATGGATGAACTCAGATGCCAATTCTTCTAAGATGCCTTCCTTGACTATCCTCAACTTGGTTGGATGTTACTTCCTTTTGTGAGAGCACATCTTCATCTATATAGTGATCATTTATTTACTTAATTATCCCCATTATTAGATTAGACATATTTTGAAGGCAGAGATGTATTTTACCGATCACTGTATTTATGGATTTAACACAAGCCTGGCACATATTGGCACTCAGTAGATACTGAATCAGTAATTCCCCAGACTCAAGGAGCTTACAGGTTATTATATGTGAAAAACAAGTTAACAAAGACTGCAGTAAGGTATCATAAGTGTGTGAGAAATATTTTTTCAAGTTATAGTTGAAGCTCAAAGAATAATGACCACTTTTTTTCTAGGGGAATTGGGTAAGTTTTCTTACAGGACCTGATACACAAGTTAATTATTGAAAAATGAATAGACATTTGAGTTTTCCTCTTCTCTTATCTCTTTTACAGTTTTGCTCATGAAAATAAGATCCACGTACCCTATTCCAATAGTCTGAGAATTCAATGAAAAAATAAACACAGGAAAAGGAATGCATAGAAGCAAGCCATTATCAGTAAGTGATTAAACATAGAAGGAAGTCCAGGACCATGAGATATTCTTGTTGTAATCTCTTTAGATTATGTCAGCAGTTGGCAGACTTTGTAAAAGGTCAGATAATGTTTTAGACTTTGTCTTACTGTTTCTATTGTAACTATTCAACTTGTCTTTGTAGCAAAAAAAGTAGCCAAAGACATTATGTAAATGAATGACCATGGCTTTGTGTGTTTCCAATAAAACTTTATTTTAAAAATTGGGTAGCAGGCTAGATTTGGCCCTCAGATTCATAGTTTGCCAATCTCTTAATAGACTAAGTAAACAAAAAATGGCCTGCAGCCCAACTGTCTAAATGAAATCAACTGTAAACTTGAGGAATTTTCACATTCTTTGTTTCTCATTCTATTACCTATTCTTTGGGTTCCATCAGAGTTAGTATATTTGTAGCATATTAGTCACAAGCGTATGTGTTTGTTTATAGCCTATGTACACAGGAGGTAACAAGAGAAAATGCTACTGGTTTATAAATGACACTGATAATTATAACTATTTTTGAGGCAAAATAGGCATGTCAAATAAAATTCCTAATGAAATTTGAAATCTATTTTTAAGCTCAAGGTAGTCATATTTCTGTTTCAAAATGGGATTTCATCAAAAAACATGCACTTTTGTAATCAGAGCACCTGGGTTCTCTCTTAGCTATAAAATGTACCAGTTCACAATCTTTCTACAAGTCAATATATTTACCCATTAAAGTTCAATAATACTTCACATCAAGTTTGTGAATTAAATGAGATTTTTTAGAAAAGTCAGTTATAATGCTTTTGATTAAAATTATATTATATCATATATATTTTGTTGTTTTAAAAAATATTTATTTATGCTTCGTTGCTAATTCCAATGCTTGATTCTCAGTTTTCACATTAATTGATCTATTAGCAGATTTGACACATTTGATCATTGCCTCATCCTTAAAACATTTCTAAACTTGGATTCCAGGATCCCACACTCTCCTGGCCTTCCTTCTACCTCAATAACCTATCCTTCTTTCTTCTTTGCTAGTACTTTCTCTTCTCACCAATCTCTGAATGTTGTAGTTTTCCAGAGCTCAGTTCTTTGTACTCTTTGTTTTGTGGTTGTTGTTGTTTTAAATCTTCACTCACTCTTTAAATCACCCCATCAAGTTTTAGGGCTTTCAATACCATCTATATGTTGATGATTCTCAAACCTATATTTCCACTCAGCTTTATCTCATGAAATCTGGACTCATTTGTATTTAACTGCCTACTCAACACCTTCACTTAGATATCAAATAGTTATTTCAAACTTAGTGTCAAACTTTGTACTCCCAGTGTCAGCCTCTCTTTTGCAACAAGCCTACTCTCCCCATAGTTTTCCCCATTTCAATTGATGGCAACTCCATTTTTCCAACTGCCAGGTCAAAAAGTTCTGAGGCATCTTTGAATCCTTCCCCCCGCCCCCATCATATGCCATATAAAATCATGCAGGAAATTTTGTTGGTTTTATCTTAAAAGTACATTAACAATATATTCAATATCCCTATTACTATCCCTGGTCTGAATTACCATGGCCTCTCAGCTGGATTATTGCAATAACCTGCTACCCATTTCCTTCCTTCTGCCTTGTTTTTCAACACAGCAGTCCAAATTATCCTTTTAAATAAAAGTCAAATTGATCATGTCACTCTTCTACTCAAAACTCTCTAGATGGTCTCATTTCATTGAGAGTTAAAACTTTACAGTGGCCTACTTTGGCCCTAGATGGTCTAGTCCCTCTACAAATTATCTCCCTGACATCACCTTCTGTCATTCTCCCCTTCACTCATTTTGCTTTAGTCACACTGCAGACATATACCTACCTTGAAGTATTTGTGGTGGGTATTTGCCTCTCAGCAACAGTTGTTCCCCAAATAGCCACATGACTAACTCCCTCATTTCCTGTAAGTCTTTGTTCAGGTATTGACACCTCACTGAGGTCTACTCTGATCATCCTATTTAAAACTGCAACTCACGGGGCGCCTGGGTGGCTCAGTTGGTTGGGTGACTGCCTTCAGCTCAGGTCATGATCCTGGAGCCCCGGGATCGAGTCCCATATCGGGCTCCCTGCTCAGCAGGGGGTCTGCTTCTCCCTTTGACCCTCCTCCCTCTCATGCTGTCTCTCATTCTCTCTCTTGCAAATAAATAAAATCTTAAAAAAAAAAACAAAAACAAAACTGCAACTCTCTCCTGATCTTCATTATCCTGTTGCAACCAATTACCTCCTAACTCACTGTAATTTACTTATACATTAAAGTTGTTTATTGTCTCTTTTCTCCTAGGAAGACAAGGACTTTTGTCTGTATTTATTCATTGATATATTCCCAAGAGCCTAGCAGAGTCTTAGCACATAAATATTTATCAAATGACTGAGTAAATATGTAATATAACATCTGCATATACACATGTGTACCTCCACATTTATATGTATAAAATTTATATATAAGCATATTTTCAATGACAATAATAATAATGATATCTGATTTGGACTATCTAATTGGGCACACTAAATATTTAGCATTTCAGATTTTATTCAACAGATATGAGAGAAATTCAGTAATTTTTGATATTCTTTAATACAACAAGGTGCTCAAAAACATATAGATATTTAGCATTGGCTTAATAAATACATAAAGTGAGGTTAAAATTATGGTGGCCAAAGAGAAGGCTATGTGGAGCTCTGAACTTAGATGAGGATATTAAAGACACATTATTCTCAATGGCACAGTTGAGATTCCAATATGCTTCAGTAGGCTGGCATGATAGTTTAACCCCTTTAACTGTGGATATTAAAACTCATAAGAATACTTGATGCCTAGTATGTATCATTGTTCACATATATTATTTTATTTGATTATTATAATAACCCCTGGATATTATGGCATTATCATTCCCTATTTACAGATGAGAAAAAAAGAGTTGCTAAGGGACATGATCAGGATCATACAAGTAATTAGTGGTGAATATCAGGTGCTAAGCTCAGGTCTTCTGACTAAATCTCTAGACCTTTCCCTGTAGCTTTGGTCAAATATTTCCTAGTAAAAGATCAGTTGCCCTATCTGGAAAGAGGATCACAAGACTGAAGAAAAGTTTTCTATACTAAAAGTCCTAAGGACTTTGATTTGTTGTAAGTTCCTGTTAAGCTTAAGGTGAAAGAAGTCACATAAAGTTTAAAATGGATTTAGGCTGAGATACCAGAGGGGAGATAGACTCACTTAGCTTTGCAACAGTCAGAATGTTTCTAGAGTGACCTGTTCACTCTTGCCAATGTGCAAATAATAATAATATTAACTAATATATATTGAGTGCTTACGACATGACAGACATTGCATTTATTAACTATTTAATCTCTAAGTATCACTGATAAACTAGAGGTAGTTCCAGGAAGAGGAATGAAGATGGTAGAGACAAAGCAGGTGGAGGTGGTGGGGTTAAGGAAGGGAGTTGAGGTCTGGAAACCATAAAGACTGGAGATAGGACTTAAGGAGGAAATGATATTTATTTTCACATCCAAGCAACATTGTCATATGGAAAAAAGATGAGGTTTTTGTTGTTGTTATTGTGCGTGTGTGCGTGTGTGTGTATGTAATCTTAGATGTTTAGAGAAAAATTTAGAGTCAAAGTGACTGAGTTTCACACTTGGGCTCAATAAAGGTGAGTGACTTAAATATTCAAAGTTTTCGAAAATGATATGTATTTCCTTGTGGGATATTCCGGGCCCATACACAGGAAGCCTTTAATCATTTTGGGAGTGATCTCATCTATAAGAAATATTGGGAGGAGGAATCTGCCCCAGCATGAAGCGACCAGAAGAATGTGCTTCCAAGTCTGAGATTCTATGGCCATTAAATTAGTCCAAGGCTGACACTTCTGGGGGATGACGGACTCTTGGTCTGAGTCATGCAACTGCTGACAGTACTTAGAATTTTGCTGCCTCTAGTTGGGCCTCCACATCCTGTAAAGAGGCAAAGATATTTCTTTGGCAGTTCTCACAAAGCCAGGCTTTCCTAGGCACCCTTTTTCTCCTGTCTTCCTCTAGCCTGTTTGCTACAGAAATGCTCCAATTCCAGTTAATCTTGCTTTTATCTTAGCTTCTATAAAAAAAAAAAAAAGTCAATTTTAGGGGCACCTGGGTGGCTCAGTTGTTAAGCGTCTGCCTTCAGCTCAGGTCATGATCCCAGGGTCCTGGGATCGAGCCCCGAATCGGGGCCCTGCTCGGCGGGAAGCCTGCTTCTCCCTCTCCCACTCCCCCTGCCTGTGTTCCCTCTCTCGCTGTGTCTCGCTCTGTCAAATAAATAAATAAAATCTATTAAAAAAAAAGGTCAATTTTATTATTATTAAATCATAAGAGACAAATATGTCACTGTTGAACTTGATTGTCTTTGGAGGTACAACCACCCAAGCCAGCAGAACAGGGGTTAACAACTTGACACATTATTTTTGAGAACCTGCCCATCCCTTCTTTTAAAATTTCCTTTACTAAGAGCCATGTAGTGTGTTGGAGCATTTGAAAACCTTCTTTAGTTATAGAGTCCAGATTCTGTGGGACAGCAAAGTGTCAGCCCTGGCTGCCCTCTATTCCCAATCAGTGGTGCTTAGAAAGAAAAGAGTCAGGATTACGAGGGAAGGAAAAATGCAGTAAGAAAAGAGGAGCAAAATGGATCTGAAATGCAAAAAGATGGTTTGAACTACAAACTGAGGAAGAATGACATAAAGAGAAGGAAAAGAATACCTTCTCCCACAGAACAAAAAAGCCCTGTATCATGGGTTAGTTAAAAAATCTCCACCCACATTATAAGACAGATGAACCTCAAAATAGCAATACTGGACTTTGGCAGAAGATAGAAGTCCAAAGGTGACAAATTGCAGGGACTGCATCTTGAACTTGGTATCTTTCCTTAGACTCTTTCAGCTATCGTTTAGGCAGTTGTGTGCTGGGTGTGGAGACTGCGTGAAGATAGATATTCTGATTTCAATGCATTTCATGCTTTTAATGGGAAACTGAATGCATTTTCTTCAGACGGGTACCCTTAGATTGTATAAAGGTAAGAAACACCTCTCAGCATGAATAAACTCCTCTCAGCAAGAACAAAATAGGAATACACATGAAAGTTAATTTGGCTTTATCTTTTGAAATGGCAGGTTTCTGGAAAAGAAAACAGGGTAGCTTTTTCTTCATTAAAAACAGAAATTGCTTTTCTAACACTGTGCGAGACCAAATTCTGCTGAAAAGAAAAAGCTAATGCAGGATGTAAAAGGGTTGGACCTTTTGTTGGGAAGGAGACACCAGGCATAGATATCAGCCTGGGAAGGCAGGACATGCATTTCTTAACAGGACTATTGTTCCCTTAAAAAAAAAAAAAAAAAGATTTATTTATTTATTTTGAGAGAGAGAGAGAGAGCAGGAGGAGGGGCAAAGGGAGAGACTCTAAAGCAGACTCCCTACTGAGCGTGAAGCCTCACAAGGGGCTAGATCTCACAACCCCAAGATCATGACCTGAGATGAAATCAAAGAGTTGGTCCCTCAACTGCCTGAGCCACCCAGGTGCCCCTCTTATTCCTTTTCAATACAACTTTTCTCAGTGGGAGTATCAGTACAAAATAGGGAACCTAATTATGACAAACATTTGCAAGAGGACTTACCTTCTTAGAAGTCATGATCCCAAACAATGGAAACATTAAACCAGGCAGTAAAGCTGTGACTGACAGAGGTAAAGCTTCTGTAAGCCAAAACGTGGCAATGACAAAGAGTGTATAGGCACATTCTGCTTCCTGGAAAGAACAAAGGAAAAATGCAAGGTGAAATAAAAAGGCTGGAAAATCATCATTTAAATCACAACCACATTTGAGCAGAGGCTGCTGGGAAGATGGCAGAGTAGGACGTCCCTGGGCTCACCTCTTGCCACGTGGCCGCCTAGAGAGCACCCACATAAATAACCCAGAAAGCAGCCCAAAAACTGGCAGAACAGACTCTCCACAGGCCAGCATAGACAAGAGGCCACAGCGAAGCAGATCCACCCCCTCCGATCACTCTTGGCAAGATCCCGTCAAAGTGGTGCCACAAGCCTGGCAGTGTGCGCGCGGCCCAGACAAGGGTCAGCACCACTCCAAAGTGAGTCTTGCCCCAGGGAGAGGGGAAGATGACCACACACCAGTCTGACTGTGACCCCAGCAGGGGGTCTGACTGCAGGCCCCACCCACCAACAGAAGCTTCTCCGGGGACGACACAGGGACAGTGTCTGCAGTTCAGTGCTACTGCATCTCTGGCAAACGCCTGGTCTGACTCAACTCAAGCCCAAGGCAGCCCCAGAGCAGCCCACTAACACCACGGGCACCAGACTCTGCCCACAACAGGCAGAGAGCCGTCGCAGACAACAGGACTGAAGGCAAACACATCCCAGCCACAACGGGAGGACAGCCCTGGAGCAACACACATAGGAGACACCCCCTGAAGCACCAGGTTCTGGGGAACAGACATGGCACTGCAGGACCTCTTCTTCATAAAGCCACTACTTTCAAGTGCAGGAGACGTAGCTGACTTTCCTAACAGAGAAACAGACAACGCAAGAGACAGAATGAGGAGACAGAGGAATATGTCCCAAATCAAAGAACAGGACAAAATCAGAGCAGGAGACCTAAGCGAAACAGAGGTAAGTAATATGTCTGATAGGGACTTTAAAGTAACACTCATAAAGATACTTGCTAGAATTGAGGAAGGACTGCAGGACCTCCATGAGACCCTCCACCAAGAGATAGAAGACATAAAAAAGAACCAATTAGAGCTATTGGACTCACTAAATGGAAATAAAAATAGACTATCTGGAATAAATAGCAAGCAAGAGGAAGTAGAAGAAAGGATCAGCCACCTGGAGGACAGAGTCATGGAAAGCAATCAAGCCAAGCAGATGAGAGGGGGAAAAATACGCAAAATGAAAATAGACCCAGGGAACTCAGCAACACTGTCAGGCATAACAGTCGCATGATAGGGATCCCAGAAGCAGAAGAGCGAGAAAATGGGGCAGAAGATTTGTCTGAAGAAATAATAGCTGAAAACTTCCTGAATCTGGGGAAGAAAAGAGAAATCCAGATCCAGGAGGCACAACACAACCAAACCCAAGAGGTCTGCACCAAGACACAAAGTAAGTAAGATGGCCAAAAGTAGTGATAAAGAGAGAATTTTTACAAGGGAAAACCCATACGGCTATCAGTGGGTTTTTCAGCATAAACTCTGCAGGCCAGAAGAAAGTGGCATGATAAATTTCAACTGCTACAAGAAAAAAATCTACAGCCAAGAATACTCTATCCAGCAAGGCTTTCATTTAGAATAGAGGGGAAAATCAAGTTTCCCAGAAAAACAAAAAGTAAAAGCAAAACCAACATGTCCCTGTTACACATGATGCCATTGGCCTGTGGGTCCCAAATTCACAGTCCAGCCACCCTCCTGCCTGAGTCAGCATGCACGGCCTGCCATCTGCTAAATGCCAAGTCAACATGCCTTCACCTCAGATTGCCAAGGGCTCAAATTGACACTCTTCCCCTCAAATTTCAACCCCTGTGCTCAAGTTTGTGCACAAAAGTGGGAATAATTATAACAGCAGAATGAAGCAACCCAAACATTTAACTATTTCTGTGGAATGTAGAATGGATAAAAGGAGTGTGCTAGGCTGAGAACAACTCCAAAAAACACATCAAAGAACAATACATACAGCATGATTCTGGTTAGCAATAAAACAAAACAAAACAAAACAAAAAACCTGGGAAGAATAAAACAAGATGAAACCAGAGAGGGAGACAAACCATAAGAGACTTCTTAAGCATAGGAAAGAAACTAAGGCTTGCTGGAGGGGAGGTTGGGGAGGGGATGGGGTAACTGGGTGGTGGGCATGAAGGAGAGCACATGATGGAATGAACACTGGGTGTTGTATGCAACTGATGAATCACTGAACTCTACCTCTGAAACTAATAATACACTATATTGTTAATTAATTGAACTTAAAATTTAAAAAAAGGAACCCCCCCCAAAATAAATAAATCACAACCACATTTGCTGAATGGAGTTGTATCACCGAGAAAGTAAGAAGAAACTTGAAGGCCTCTACACCTTTGAGTTGGGCAGTAAATAGTTATTTCTTAGGGCTTCTAAGGGCCAAAATTTAGTACACATGAACAACCAAAAACAAAACAAAAAATCCTCCTTCATGAAGTTTCTTTCACATTTCCTTCAAAACAAATAACGGTGTATAGTCAATTTTCTGTTCTCCTTTCAGTGTGTATGAATGCTTGTGTTCACCTTTATATGCCTATAAAATGCCTAAAAAGAACTTCCAGTTCTTCTGGAGTGCATAAGTAGTCAAGTTACTGCCTTTCCCCTGGGGCAAGGCATATGTGACTTTCAATTGCATTCCCTGGTGCCTGTTGGTTGGCACCAATGTATACCTGCCTTCCCCTCCTACTAAAAGGGAGAAATCAACCTAGAAAAAACTTTTTGCTGTGCTTTGTTTCAGAGAAAGAAGGACATGCCAAGTTATGTGACATGGTTGAGTCTAAATCAGCTCCTAAGTAACATGGACCTGGAGGTTAAGAACCTCCTGCTTTGCTTTTTAGAAAGACAACTGAGCTCCTGAGGAAACACAGGGAGACCCAACAGAAATGAAATTCCTAATAGAATCTGTTGCTTTGCTAGGTATAAAATTGTGTGTTTCTGTTTTAGGGCATTGTTAAGAAATGGTTGAGATTTGGGGTTCAAGATGGCAGAACTGAACTCACCTCCTCCCACAGATGTAATATTATCTACAGCTACACATGAGATAATTTCTTCTGAAGAACTAGCTGAACAGTTTCCTTCATAACAAGGGATAAAAGAGCCACATCCAGACAGGTAAGAGAGACAAAGATGTGGTTTCACCAAAAACCTTATGTGTGGTATGGTGACCCACAACTGGGAGGTATCTCAAAATATGGAGTTTCTCCCTGAGGAGTGAGGAGTTTGTGCCCCACATTGGGCACCTCAACTCTTTGGATCTGCACCAGTGATAAGAGTTCCTGAAATGTCTGACTTTGAAAACCAATGAGGCTTAGGTTCAGGAGAACCATGAGGCTGTAGGGAATGGAGACTTTACTCTTTAAGGGCTCATGTACAAACTCATCCACCCTGGGACTCAGCACAAAATCAGCAGTTTGAAAACTGCCTAGACCATACATGAAGGAGAGTCATTTGTTAATCTAAAAAGCATCTCACACAGGGGCAGAGCCTATTAGGACTCTGTCCAGGGATAGAGGTGCTATTTGGTGCCATTTTTGCATTCTTCCTTTACCTTGTTAACAATAGTGGGTGTGCCCCACTCTTATGAAACTATTCTTGCATCTGTGGAATAAACCTCACTTGATCGTGAAAAGGAAAGAAATAAGAAGTGCTGACAAGGATGTGGAGAAAAGGGGAACCCTCATGCATTGTTGGTGGGAATGTAAATTGGTGTAGGCACAAAGGAAAACAGCGTGGAGGTCCTTCAAAAAATTAAAAATAGAACTACCATATGACTCAGTAATTCCATTACCGGGTACTTATCTGAGGAATATGAAAACACTAATTTGAAAAGATACACACACCCCTATGTTCATTGCAGCATTACTTAACAATAGCCAAGGTATGGAAACAATTTAAGTGTCCATTGATGGATGAATGGATAAAGAAGCTGTGGTGTATATATGTAATATATATATATAGAGAGAGAGAGATAGAAGGAGATGTCACACACACACATTTGTTGGAATCTCTCAGCCATAAAAAAATAATAAAATGTTGCCCTTTGTGGCAACATGCATGGCCCTCAAGGGTATTAAGCTAAGTGAAATAAGTTACACAGGGAAAGACAAATACCACATGATTTTACTTATATATGGAATCTAATAGACCCATGAGCAAACAAAATCAGACCAAGCCAAACTCATAGATAAAGAGAATAGATTGGTGGTTGCTGGAGGGGAAGGAGTTGAGGAAGGTAGACAAAATGGGTTGAAGAGAATCAAAAGGTATAAAATTCCAGTTATAGAATAAAGAAGTCATGGGGATGTATTGTACAGCAAGATGCTAAGAAAGAAAATCTTAAAAGTTCCTATCATAAAAAAAAAAAATGGTAACTTTGGTTGCAGATGGTAACTAGACTTACTGCGGTGATCATTTCACAATGTATACAAATGTGGAATCATGTTTAATTATACCTGAAACTAAGAGAATGTTGGATATCAATTATACTTCAATAAAAATGGTTGAAATGTATTATTATATTTGGCTTATATAAAAGATTTTGAAATGGAATCACCTGGAGTGTATTAAGTGATTGACAAAAGTTAGCATCTATTACATGGCTTTGTTTTGCTCTCACAGGGCTTAATCTCTGCAAATTCTGAGTTGCATGTGAAAAATTTATAAAAACTGCTGTCTGAGTTTAATGAGGTATTTTATTTATGGTTTTCCCAGGGCAATAACATTTCTAGTTCTGCTGCCCCCTGATTCTCCCACGTCAGGGTGAATCCTCGGAGCTTGGTGTTTGGTCACCTAGCATCCCTGCACTTTCAGTGGGAGGGTCTAAGAAATCCTTAATAAACTAGGATTATGTTGCACCTTCACCATGTTCTCTCTTCAAAGGAGAAAGAATAAAGATGTTTGGATGTTAATAGTTTTATAGAAAGTCTGCCTCTATAACCTTGAAAATAAAACAGTGAAAACAAAGCTGGGCCTTGACTAAAACTTCCTAATTTGCTCTGGAGAGAATTTGTGAATACTAACTTAATTAATTAATTTTTTTAAAAAGGTTTTATTTATTTATTTTAGAGACAGAGAGAGTGTAAGCAGGAGGAGGGGCAGGGGAGAAGGAGACAATCTCAAACAGACTCTGCACTGAGCATAGAGTCCAATGTGGGGCTCAATCTCATGACGCTGAAATCATTACCTGAGCCGAAATCAAGGGTCAGATGCTCAACCAACTGAGCGACCCAGGCACCCCCCACAATACTAGCTTAATTTAAAATACCAATGCATGAGAATGACCAGGCCTGCATTTTCTCTTGGTGAGAACACATGAATAACCCAACCTCCTTACCACTTTGTTTTCTATCATACTTGCAGGAACCTAGATTTCAAAGATAAATGAACCCCTTCACAGCCTTGCTCTTTTGCCACAACCAAATCCTCTATCCCTGTCATTTTCTCTCTCAGATATGCCTCTCAACCTCCACCCCACTTCCTCCACTGCAGGCAAGCCTATTGCACACCACACCGTCATCCAGGAGCCACTTTGATTTTGTCATTCCCTTGCATAAAGCCAGATTAAGGGACTAGTCACCCTACAACAACTTGGAGCATCAACCTATAAGGGCCTGCTTAGAACAGAAAAATAAAAAGAAAATCCAGTGCTAGCTAACATAACCCCTGTTTCATCTCAACATGGGTCTATTTCAGCTAGACATCATAGTCTGCTCAGAAGTGGCAACTTTTAAAACGCAATAAAAAGCAAAATTTCAAGAATTAAATTATTAGTTTCCCTAACAACTTTCATACTTTAACTGCCTAGCCCTGACTTAAAATCAAGTCAGTGATTTTCAGTTGTTTATCGGAAATAATCTAAAATCCTCATCTTGCATTAGAGGTCACCTGCAGTCTAACTATAATTAGACTTACCCGACTTACCCCAATACTTCCTGACATCACATCTCTATTTCTATAGAGTTTATTGCCTTCTTGATGTTTGGGTTATGATCCCTGCTCCTCATCATGCAACCTTTTTCTGAACTTTTAATACATAATGTTCGGCCAAGTAGTCATACTGTTAAGTTCCCAGATGCCCATAAGTGACAGCTTCTAACTGCCTGTAATTATACTCTGGACTCTTGGACCCTTTGACCCAGTTTGACTATTGAGACGAAGCAGCAAGCTGATGACCAAGTCTAACAAAAACATACATTTTATTTGACTCACGGTGTTATGTATGCGTGTGGGTTTCATTTGAAACATGATCTACAAACCAACACATTTCATATTAAAAATAAAATCTGGATTTCTGGCTTTCCTTGAAAAACTAAAGAGTTTGGTAATATTAGGATCATATTCTTCCATGTCAACAATTCTTAGAACTCAAGGAGAGCTTACCCTTTAAAGACAGACTTGTGCTTTTCAGTTCTGCACAGCACTGCACCATTTCACTTTATTCTCTTATCTGCTTGGCCTTTGTTAGCATTTTAATAAAATCTCTGGTAATAAAAATGCTACCTTGATACTCTGCCTTGCAAAAAAATCTTATTTTACCATTCCAGAATCAACACTTCGGCCGTTTGTTTGAATTGTTCTGCCCAACCCCCAGTGTGGTCCATGGACCAGCAGCATCGGCATGACCTCAGAGCTTGTGAGCAATGCAGAAATCAGGCCATTCCCCAAATTTACTGAATCAGAATCAGTATTTTCAGGTTCCCCAGGTGATTCTTATAGAGGTTCAAGTTTGAGAAGCACTGGGTTACTTCCTCTTCCAGACCTTACCTTTTATCTTTAACTCTGGGTCCAACTTGGAAACCGGACACTTGCTTCCAGGTAATGTTCTACCCAAATTCAATCCCCAGATTCAGAACGTATTTTGTTCTTTTTTTTTCTTAACATATATTGCATTATTTGTTTCAGAGGTACAGATCTGAGATTCAACAGTCTTGCACAATTCACAGCGCTTACCAGAGCACATACCCTCCCCAGTGTCTATCACCCAGTCACCCCATCCCTCCCACCCAACCCCCCACTCCAGCAACCCTGTTTGTTTCCTGCGATTAAGAATTCCTCATTATCAGTGAGATCATATGATACATGTCTTTCTCTGTTTGACTTATTTCGCTCAACATAATACCCTCCAGTTCCATACACGTCGTTGCAAATGGCAAGATCTCATTCCTTTTTTTTTTTTAAAGATTTTATTTATTTATTTGAGAGAGAGAATGAGATAGAGAGAGAGAGCATGAGAGGGGGGAGGGTCAGAGAGAGAAGCAGACTCCCTGCTGAGCAGGGAGCCCGATGCGGGACTCGATCCCAGGACTCCAGGATCATGACCTGAGCCGAAGGCAGTCGCTTAACCAACTGAGCCACCCAGGCGCCCAAGATCTCATTCCTTTTGATGGCTGCATAATATTCCATTGTATATATATATATATACCACTTCTTCTTTATCCATTCATCTGTCGATGGACATCTTGGCTCTTTCCACAGTTTGGCTATTGTGGACATTGCTGCCATAAACATCGGGGTGCACGTACCCTTTCGGATCCCTACTTTTGTATCTTTGGGGTAAATACCCAGTAGTGCAATTGCTGGATCATAGGGTAGCTCTATTTTCAACTTTTTGAGGAACCTCCATACAGTTTTCCAGAGTGGCTGCACCAGCTTGCATTCCCACCAACAGTGTAGGAGGGTTCCCCTTTCTCTGCATCCCCGCCAACATCTGTCATTTCCTGACTTGTTAATTTTAGCCATTCTGACTGGTGTGAGGTGGTATCTCATTGAGGTTTTGATTTGGATTTCCCTGATGCCGAGCGATATTGAGCACTTTTTCATGTGTCTGTTGGTCATTTGGATGTCTTCTTTGGAAAAATGTCTGTTCATGTCTTCTGCCCATTTCTTGATTGGATTCTTTGTTCTTTGGGTGTTGAGTTGGATAAGTTCTTTATAGATTTTGGATACTAGCCCTTTATCTGATATGTCATTTGCAAATATCTTCTCCCATTCTGTCGGTTGTCTTTTGGTTTTGTTGACTGTTTCCTTTGCTTTGCAAAAGCTTTTATCTTGATGAAGTCCCAATAGTTCATTTTTG